TGATTTTTAATTTTTTTAATTATTATTATTATTATTTTATTTATTTTTTTGTACAATTAACAACAGCACACACACGCAATTATTTTTCTTTTTCTCTAATTTCAGTAATATTTTAAGTGGCAGGGAAAGCTTCGAGTAAGAAAATTGGACTCGTTTGCTGGTAGAATTACGAAGCGCCACTGTAAGTGTCGGGGACAATTATCCACCGCCAACTACTACACGTGGTAGGAACACATAACCAATTGTCAGCCCTTGGATGCAAAGGATTTATTATGACACTTACTTGACACATATTTGCTTAAAACACTCTTCAAAATTATTTTCTTTAACAACCTAAAAACATTAATCAGCTTGGCTAATTATAGATAACTAATCTAAACACAAGCTTTTTCTTTTCTTGTTGGTTACACAAGCATTATGGCCATGTTCGCACGGGTGGATCCGGTTTATTTAATTTAAAGAGGGTTATTTATAATCTTTAGAATTTTTAAGGATTGTTTGTAGTTTAATAGTTTTTAGAGAGCTATTTATCATTTTTATTTTTTAAAGACTGCTTGTAACTTTACGAGTTAACCTACAAATGAGAATGATTTGAGAGGTATACATTGGCCTTAAACGATAATGTTTATTAGAGTAAAATTACGGGGTACTGCCTTTATAGGATTAAGTGCAAAGACTCAAACATTTTGGAGGTTTTCTGAAATTTCCAAACTTATTGGAATATTCAAAAAATTTGGAAGCTTAGTGTCAAATGACTAAACTTATTGGAGGTTTAGTTAAGTGTATCTTTTGAAAATTTAAGAAGGACAACATGACAACTTTTTAAGATGTATGATTTAAATGATTAATTCCTCCTTCATATATAAAGGAGAAGAGAAGCAAAAATATGATATTAGATTTTCTTTAATTATAGATATTTGATTATAATTAGAAGTTTCTAATTAATAAATTTAATTTGATGAGATTTATAAGTGAATATTAGACTAGGTGTCCAAATATCATCTTTTTCATATGACGCATGGTAGTTTTTTATACCTTTAGAAATACCACCAATTTCTTATTATATATAAAAGAAAGAAAATCTCAATAATCAGTGTCTTGCATAAATAACCGCATTCGTATCTATGACCCTACTTAAAGTTTCAGTGTGAGATTGGAACACGATAAAAAACTTCTGTCTACACCAGCATTTTAATTAGTCAGTGAATTTTTATTAATTTATGAGATGATGAAGTCAGAACATAAAATAAGACTTTGTAGTAGAAAGATGTGAATAGTATTTGAAGAATAACAAAGAAGGTATTTTTGCTTTACTCTTCTACGATCTAATAACAACACACGCAATTATTTCTGGATTAGCGAAATATAAGTTTATGGTATTATAGTGCTATACCCCCCAAGGTTCATGGGTGTTTTGGGAAAATTAACATTGAATCTATTTCCTTTTAAAAGCTTTGGGGTAGTAAGTAACGGCACTTGTTTTTATCTTTTCTTTATTTTATATTTTTATAAATATAAATATAAAAATATATTACACGTGTGATGATGACAAGCGGGCAACAAGCTGCGCCGCTAATCCTTTCTATATTACTCTTCTTTATTTTATTTTTATTTTTATTTTTTTGTTAGAAATTACAAGGGTGCCCTTATAAATGCCGGGGACAATTATTCACCGCCACCACCACTTGCATAGAGAGTAAGATAATAGTGGGGCAAAGAAATGTAAAGTTAAAGAAAGCTCAACCTTCCTTTTGAGAGCTTCTAGCTTTAACCTATACTATTATTGGTAGTGACCTATAAATTTTTGATTTTTATATATGAATCTTGGGTCCCCATTGCCCCTATGATATTTTCTGAAAACTGCATCGTAAGCGTCCTCGGCACGAAGGCAATGATGTTCTAAAAAGAAATATATACCTTAACTATGGCTTTTATTTCGACATTACGTTCAAGGGAAATATATGAAAAGCCTTAACAAGTAATACTTAAGATCAAGAAATATTTCATGCCTAAGATAGCCTTTGCTATCATTGAATGACTTAATTGTATTTGCGTTTGAAGAGAGATAGATTATGGGTTAATTGGCTGTGGTAAAGGGACACATTTGTGTTGCTTAAGATGCATGATAAGATGAGCATATATCATTGTTTGAGATTTTGCTTCATAAATGATCAATATCAATATGATACCAACTGTTAAGATTTTACCAGTATTAATTTGGCTGGCCCACATAGTTCGTCATGCATGATAAATAAAATATAAGATCGACAGAAAAGTAAACAAGAAATGAAACTAGCGATGTTAGATTTTTAACGACATTCACCCCCAATTTGATTTGGACTATGTCCTCAACATAGTGGAATCTACATTGGTCCATTATATCCTAATCAAGCTATACACGGTCTCCGTCTCTCTTATAAGAAACCATATTAGTACTCTTTTAAATCTCTCTACAAGCCGCTAAGTTGCTCATAATGAGTTCTAAGATATTAGAATTGTAGACATTATAGACTAAAGAAACACCTCACCCAACCCAACGGGATAGGTGACCGACCGCCCAATTTTTTGAGTTGGTGATCCACTGGTCGGACGACTGATAGCTTCTGAAGGATCTCCATTGCAGCATTTAGTATTTGGAATCCCTCCTCTATGTATAACTAGTGATATACCCACACAATGCGGCAGTACTTTTTCTTTAAAAATTGCCAACTAATTTGTTTAAATTGCACAATATGGTGAAAATGAGTACATTAACGCTACTATTTATCTTTCGTATAAAAAATTTCGTGTTATTATTTTATATAAGTAATTATTCCAAAAATAATCATATAGTGTATAGTATAAAAGTTCAACGATTCAAACAGTAAGATCATTTGTGAAAATTACTAATGTATTTTTCTGAAATAAAATGAACAGATGTATGCAACTCTCAAAAGGCCGAAGTCAACAAACATTCAACCTGGATGAAACCAATCAACTAAAAAAAATTATCCACACTAGCACGCATGGGATACCTGTGCAAAGTTAGAGGAGGAACATCCCAACATAAATTACTTTCAACCTTAAAAATTAAAATTAGAGATTCAGCTAATTAACAAAAGATCATAGACAAAAAAATAGCTACCTGCAAACTTGTTGCAATGAAGATAGAAAGGAAACATGATAAGGGCTCAACTTTTACACAACTAAAAAGGGAATATTTAATTAGCTTTAATTTTCAAAAGAACTAATTAGAATGCTCTAATTAATTAGGAAAAGCTAAACCGATAAGACTGAATAGGTTAGGCGTTGAAAGGTGGGGGGTAGGGTGTCCATGACCGGTCCGCGGCGCGGCCTCGAAAAACGGTGGGCTCCGGGCAGGGCAAAACCGGGGCCCGGACCGGGCCCGGTTGCCCCGGGCCTGGCTCGAGCGGCCCGGTTTTTTTATTATTTAAAATTTTTTTAATTTTTTTAAATTTTGAAGAATACAATTCCAAAAATAAACACAATTTTGATAAAAAATTTATATTATTAATCAATTGTAATTATGTAATTTATAAATATAAAAAATTATAGAAATTAAAATAATTGTAAAATTTGTAGAAACAAACAAATTAAAATAATTGTAGAATTTAAAGGCCAATCAAAGACCTCTTAAATATATAATGTTATGGCTAGGATTTGAACCACTAACATACTCTCGCAAACCCCTAAATTTTACCACTAGACTAAGTAGCCCAAAGTATTCATGTCATTCATATATGTATTGTATATATATATATATATATATATAATATATATATATATATATATATATATAATATATATATATATATATAATATATATATTATACATAAACAAATTGTAAATACTTATAGTAATTACATAAACAAATTGTATATATAACCATTTTTTTCAATCAATCCCACATAAAAGAAGCAAATCTCCCCCTTTTTGGAATTGAATGCCAAACCAATTCAAAAGGATATATGATGAATACAAAGGAATATATAAATTATTATATTCACATCATATATGAAAAGAATGTATACTATCCAATATTTCTTCCCCTTTGGCCAACATCAAAAAGGGGGACAAAAGGGATTAAGAGAGGCGAAAAGTCCCCTATCAATAAGCATAGGTGAGTACAAAGCATAAGTAAGTATGGGATTGCTCGCCCCTAATCAAAATCCATATGGAATATATGAAAATGAATTCATTGGCAAAATGTGAGCAAGCATACGATGGAAGATATCTAAATATCACTCACATACAAACAATGATAATGAGAACACATGAATGATTGTCATTATGAAAATAGTGTTCATTAACAAAAAATTAAAAAGATCATAAAAATAGATTATGAATCAAAGAAGAGGAACATGAGAATATGCAAAGTTTTCAATGAACAATTCAAACCAAATGAAATCATAAAATCAAATTTTAAGTCGCAAGCAATGTTTGATCAACAAGAAATTTCTTTGAAAAACTTGATCAAACCGTATAAAGACTACATTATAGAGCATATTTGATGTGAATTATCTATTTGTGGCTATATAATGAATTCAAAAGAACAATCAAAATTAAGATTTTCATAGTTCAAAAATAAGATTACAAAACGTACTAGAATCATGACTATGGATAAAAAATTTTTAGAGAGTATAAAATCATGAAGAAAGGATTTGATCATTAAAAATTTGTTTTCATAAACAATAGATTTTTTAAGCCATTAATTTTTCAACCAAGAGAAGGAAATGTAAGATACTAAAATTCTTGGTTTAAAATTAAATTTGTTTTGGTATAAAGAACTCTTGGTACGAAAGATTTGGGACATGACCCCTACATTAAAGCTCAAAACCTTAGGGTTATGAACTCTTGGTATATGTGGTGCAGCTAACATGGTCCAAAACAATATTCATTCAAATGACCTCGATTGCAATTTGTGGGCATGAAGGATCCATTTGTTTTTGTGGACCATTAGCTCGTGACGGGGAATCATTTGCA